CATTGCAAAACACATTGCTAGGTGAGCATCCTGGGCATCCAGGTGGCACAGTAGAGAGAGCACTGGGCCTGGAGTCTACAAGTCTCATCCTCATGAGTTCAAGTTTGGCTTCAGACACTTACTAGCAGTGTGACCCTGGGCAAGCCACTGAACTCTGTTTACCTCAGCTTCCTCATCTGTAAAATGAGCTGGAGAAGGAAATGGTGAACCACTCCAGTATCTTTGCCAAGAAAACCCCAAATGGCGTCATGAAGAGTTGGACATGACTGAAAATGACTGAACAACAACAAGGAGGAGGACAGCATCCAATCCCTCTGTAATTAATGGATCACAAGGATCACCTCAGGACACATCTAGTCCAATCCTCTCATTTTCCAAATGAGGAAACTGAGGCCCAGGGCAGTTAGGTGACTTGCCCAAGGTCACACTGGTAGTGGCAGTGGTAGGATTTCAACCCAGATCCTCTAATACTAGGGAAAGCTGCCTTCCCTGCAGCTCTCCTGGAGGCCTAGATGAGTTCCCAAAGAACTGTACTGATTTGGCCGGTTTTTTTCCTTGTCTGTTGAATGGACTCCCGGAGGGGTGAGCTACAAGTGTTTCAGACAATGAAAGTTCAAACCAGGTTTTTGCTGAGAGCTTGAGCCAGGTCCTTTCAGCTTCCATGTATGAGGATGAACTTCAGGGGAAGCCAAGAGAGAGAAAATGCGTGCACATGACTTTCTGACGTGCACAGAGACGTTCCTGCTGCATGTTCTGAATTTGCTTTTTCATATGAAAACAGTTAGCTCCCACAGCCCAGATTAAGTCTTGGCTCCAGAAACCAAACTGGAGGCATGACTTGGCTCCTGCTTCCATCTTTCCTGACTTGCAGAAGTTTGCCAGGTCTCTGGGATCTGATAAGTGGGATCAGCAGAAATCTAAGGAGACACAATATGCTGCCTGGCCTCCTTACCCCATCATCGGTCATCCCATGTCTGATCCCTCATTTCTGTGGAAGAGAGTGACTAATTGAGTTTTCCTCAAGAAGGAAGTCCTAGAATAGCCTCTGAGAGCTGGAACCAAGCACACCACCTTGCTTGTGGCAGGTATTCAATAAATGATCCCTCGGTCATAAAGTGAGGAGGTTGGATGAATGAATGAATGAATGAATGAATGAATGTATTTTAATTTCCTCATTTTACAGACAGGGAAACTGAGACCCAAAGTAGTTATGTGACTTGCCTCAAGTCATAAAGCTAGTTAGTGGCAGAACCTGGGCAATAATCCAGGTGACCTGATTCTCAATTCTGTCCTTTTCCTATCACCTCACCCTGGCTAAGTGAATTGGACTAGAATTCTGGCATTCCTAATGGGAGCAAGTATCCCGAAGAACAAAAAAAAAAAAAGATAAAGTATGCTTAGGAAAGATACCAAAAGGCCTGTAGTCCACTGATGACCATAAAGAAATATACTCTGGCCAGAACTACAGATGACCACTGGATCAGCCCCAAACCATCATTCTGACTCAAGTCAGCAAGCAGGTTGCACAGGTTTTTCCAGACCATATTGACACATCTGGTTCACTCATAGTTTCTGGCTAGAAACTACTGCCTTCCTTCTGAGATTACCATCAGGGAGGCCTGAGTTCAAATCCAGCCTTAGATACTTACTAGCTGTGTGACCCTGGACAAGTTACTTAATCTCTGTTCACCTCAGTTTTCTCATCTATAAAATGGGGAGAATAGCACGTACTTCCTGGATTGTTGTAAGGATCAAATGAAGAGACAATAATAGTAAAGCACGTAGCACAGTGCCTGGCACATAGTAGATGCTATATAAATATTAGTTATGATGATAACGTATGTAGTTGTTTTCATGACATTTCCCCCATTAGAATATGAGTTTTTTGAGGGACTGCACTTTTTTTTTTTCCTTTGTATTCTTGAGCTTAACATAGCACTTGGCACAAAGTAAGATACTGACTGATGACAGACCTTGAAAGTACTAATGAGTGCTGACTAGGAACTACAGAGTCTGCTACAGGTCATGGATTACAACTAGACCTTGTCGCAATTCAATTAATTCAATATACATAGATTTGGCCTCAGACTCCAGTAAAAATTGGCAACAAATAGTTACAAGAAGCTTAGAACAGTGAGTGGCACACAGTAGGCACTAACTAAACGTTTGCTGACTAACATACCTTCACACCATGCTCCTATGCGCTAGCCTCCAGCTCTGACCAGGTACTCCAACTCCTGCCCCTGGGTTCCCGGCTTCCCACTGAAGGGAGTTCGCCACATCTCTCCTGACCCAGAAATTCCTCCATCTTCCTCCTCCTGAGTCCCCTTCCTCTCCCACACACAACTATTCTTTCTACCTCTCAGTAGAGTGTGGTAGAGATTACTCAGTCTGAGTAATCAAATCAATACTCTCTTTCTTAGAAAGGACATAAAATCAACTGCCCAATGATTAGATGCACCATTCCTATGAATTCCTGGTCCAAAATGTCCTTCCTGACCTGCCCACTATTCCCCTATACTGTGAGGGGAAAACAACACATAGGGGAGTGGTGGCCAGAGAGGGATATTATGGTTTGGGTGGTCACAGAAATCGTGAGTAGAGCCATAGGAGACTGGATAGTGTTGGAAGACACTATCAAATCCAGCCTCAGACATTTACAAGCTGTGTGACCCTGGACAAGTCACTTAAACTCTGTTTGCCTCCGTTTCCCCATTTGTAATAGAATTTACCTCTCAGGGTTTTTGTGAGGATCAAATGAGATAATACATACATAAAGTCCTTTGCAAATCTTAAAGAGCTACATAAACGTCAGCTATCACTATTTATTATTATTATCATCATCATTAAGTGTGTTGTCTTTTCCTATCAGAATGTAAGCTCCTTGAGGGCCAAGTTGCTTGCTTTGCATATTTGGATCCTGTGCTTAACACAGTGCCGGGTACATTGAAAGAACTTACATTTCTTTCATGCATTCATTTATTCACTGTAGGGAGGAAGAGAGTCGTAAGACATAAAAGCTGTTATATTTTCAGACAAACTGCTGCTTAACCACAACTCCCCCATCTTACACTTGTGAAGTGGTATTTGGGTACCAAGTACAAGACTTTAAATTTATCCCTATTAAATTTCATCTTATTAGAGTCAGCTTGTTGCTCTGGCCTGTGCTAGAAAATCCTTTCGGATCCTGACTCCGTCAAGCAGTGGCTGAGCTATCTCTCCCAGCTCGATATCATCTGCAAATTTGATGAGCTTACCACCAGTGCCTTTACCTAAGTCATTAAGAAAAATATGAAATGGATCCCTGAGGGAATCTACTCGGGACCTCTTTCTATACTGACGCTGACCTTGTTTCAACTACTCTTTAACTCCAGCCATCTAACCAGTTCTGAATTCGACTGTATTATCTAATACATATCATTCCATAAGCTGGACTCAGAATCAGGTCCTGCCTCAGATACTTATCAGTGTGACCCTAGCCTCTGTCTCAGTTTCTTCATTTGTAAAATGGGGATGGATTGCTGCGAGGATGAAACGAGACAATATGCATTAAGAGGTTTGCAAACCTTCAAGCCTATATAAAGTTTAGCTATTATTATCAGAATGGTATGTTATACTTTATCAAAAGCTTTGCTAAAATTCAGGTAAAACTATATTCCCAGTATTACTCTCATCTACATGTTTAGTAATCCTGTCAAGAAAGGAAATGAGGCTAGTGTGGCTCGTGAACTGATCTTAATGAAACCTTCATGATTCTCTGTAATAATTGCTTCCCTTTCTCATGTTCAGCAACCATTTCTTTTTTTAAAATTTTTTTTAAAATCTTTTATTTATTTATTTATTTGTTTATCTTGGTGAGGCAGTTGGGGTTAAGTGACTGTCCCAGAGTCACACAGCTAGTAGGTGTTATGTGTCTGAGGCCGGATTAGAAATCAGGTCCTCCTGACTCCAGGACCGGTGCTCTATCCACTGCACCACCTAACTGCCCCCAACCATCTCTTTTTGATAGATTCTAGAATCTTTCCAAGAAATGTCCAGAGAAAGGTAAGGTTCCTGAAATTGTGTTGCATTAGGAAGAACTGAAAAACTGGGGAGATTTATTCATGAGAAAAGAGGACTTAGGGGGAAATAATTTCTGTTTTCAATTCTTTGAAGAGCTGCCTTATAGAATCAATCAACCAACAAATATTTACTAAATATCTGCCACACATTAGAGCTTGTGTTAGGCTTCTGGGAATACAACAATAAAAAAAAATGAAAAAAATTCTGGTGCTCCAGGAGTTTATATTCTAGCAAAGAAGAGGGATTCTACTTGTTCTATGTTGCTCTAGTGAGTAGAAAAAAAGACCAAAGGGTCCCTACTGAGAGGGAGATTTTGGCCCAGTATAAGGAAGAATGCTCTGGCAGTTAAACCCATCCAACAATGGGACAGTGCATTGTGAAAGCGTGAACTCCTGATCACTAAAATTGTTCAAGCAGAGGTTGTCATCAGGGCAATTGTAGAAAAGATTCTTGCACTAGGTAGGAGGAGGTTGGACCAGCTGACCTCTCCTGTCCTTCCCAATTCTAAAAGGCTATGATTATGATAAAATATATGATAAAATGTGCATGGTACAAGCAATAAACGCAATGCTAGCAGGTAGGTCCCATAGCCTACTGTACCTTTCTTCTGCACCACTAAAAATGAAGGACCATGAGAGACCAATATGAAAAAAATATCAGACACATAGCAAGGCTTGCAAAACACTTAACATACATTTTCTTTCTCACTTGAGGTTCACAACAGTGAGGCACAGTCTAATTGCAGAGCTTGCATCAGAAAGACCCAGAAGAAGTGATAAGACGGGTCCTTTATAGGAAGAAAAATACACCTTTGAGGGAAAGCATGACATGGATGAAGGAGCAAAACTCACTCAAGGAAAAATGATAGCCTTGGGCACCATTGGTAGTACTGGCTCTTGGAAGACACCTAACCAGTGCCAGGTGGCTTTCTGCCTTACCTTGACTACATGGAGTTTGGGCAGCAGATTGCAGTCAGCAAGGGTCAGCTCTTCCCCATCCAGAAACCTGCGCCTGGAGGTCTTCTCATCATCTCCACAAGTATCAGCATCTATCTCCTCAGGCAGGGGTGTTTTCAGATAATCATCCAGTTTCTTCAATGCCTTTGTCAAGCCTCTTTCAAGAGCTAGGAGACAAGACCAAAAACAATTTACAAAATGTAAAGGCTTTTGCTAATCTCTTCAGCAATGATTATTGATTCATTCAGCAAGTATTTATTAAGCCCTTCCTACTTGCCAGGTCACTGAAGAGAGAGGGAAAGTGAGACACACAGATAAGAGAGACCGAGAGACACAGATTCTCATATATAAAATGAGGGTGATTGGACTAGAAATCACAGGTTTCCAAAATGGGCAATACTGCCCCCTGGGTTAGGTGCTGGAATGACTGGGGGGGGGCAGGGAGTAGTAGTAGCCTGGGGTGCAACTGGGGCACATTGAATAAAAATAAGGGGGTGGTAGAAGCATAAGGAAAGGAGAGACAATAAAGTTTTGAAAAACTTCGTACATGTTTTGTCTGTTGTGTAAAAGAGTGAAAATCGTAGAGATTACATTATTTTCCAAATAAACACACAAAATGCAAATTATAACCAATCAGTGATCAAGTCCACCAACAGGCCTTAACAAGTAAGTGTTGGCAGGTGAGCCTGATGAACATTGTTGGGAAGTCCAGCATGCACTGGCAGGAATATGTGCATGTAATGACTTGTTTACAATACAATACTATATAGTTACATGACACATATTGCATCATCAAAATTTCAATGCAGGAAAAACCCCACAAATTTACAATAAATTATTAAATTTAAGATGTGTCAGTTTATAAAAAAAGAATTTTTTTTGAAATGATGCAAATTGCAAAAATTAATTAATTAATTAATTAATAGCCACCAAAAAAAAACCCCACAAAAGATAAAGGATTAAAGAAAGTAGATTTCCAGGGGGTGCTGAGTAATTTTTTTTAAAGGGGCAGCAGGCCAAATAAATTTGGGAACCTCTAGATTAGCTGGAACGTCCCTTCTCTCTCTAAATCTCAGATCTTATGATCCTGTACTATTATGAAACAACTTTGTCAGGGGAAAAGTAAGCAGCATAGAGTAGTGGATAAAGCATTAGACTTGGAGTCAGGGATATCTAGGTTTAAATACTGCCTCAGACACTTATTCACTGCATTACTCTGAGCAAGCTACTTAAAATCTCTGTGTAACTGTTGACAGACCTTGAAAGTACTGATGAAGACTGACTAGGAACTGTAAAGTCTGCCACAGGTCATGAATTTCAGTTAGAACCTTTGGTCCCAATTCAACACACACACATATATGCATATATAAACACAGGCACACATATGTGTGTATGCACACGTATACGCATATATACACATTCAAAGCCACAAAGAACTTTTAAAGTGTAATATGAGCCAGAGATTTTACTCCCCCTCAGTCTTCCTATCTTAAAAATGGACACGATAATAGCAGCCAAATCCCATTCACTCTAAAATGTGAGAAAAATTAGAGTTATACTTTTACCTTTTCCCAACAAAAATACATAATAAACATGGCACCTTAAATATCTAAAATATCATTTGCTTTATAGATTACTCCAACACTATTTTTTTTAACTAAGCCCATAAGTTTTAGGCCTACTTAGGTGGAGTTTTCACACTTTTATCAATCATTCCCTTATCGATAAAATATCAGGTCAGAGGAGACTAAAAACTTCAACAGATTAAAGTTGGTTGAGAAGACTGTGGGATCTGGACATTTCATCCTGAAAACCCTAGAGCAGATGATCTTTTCCTGTATTTCACATGTTAAATATGCTGTAGAGGGAGCTACGGGAATATCCATTTCAAGGATCATATTGAACTCCTAAGCAAGTAGCAGAGGTACTTTTGAAGACTTTCTCTAAAAGGTTTCTATCAGAAGATTCTTCCTGGTCTCTGGGGATGAAAAATAAAGCATTCAAATGAGCAACCCCAAGAGACTACCCTGCCATGTAGTACCAATGGGGGGGGGGGAAACCTAACTCTGAAGTCAAATGAGTTGCCTTCTAATTTCTCCTCTGTCACTTACTAGCTATGTGACCTTGAAAAAGTCACTGATTCTCTCTGAGCCTCAGTTTCTTCATTTGGATAATGAAGGGATTGTTTGATCCAACATTGCCGTGAGATGTTCCAAATCAGAAATTCAGTGACGGATACAACATCAGAGATTTAATGTCTCCAGGGTGATATATTAGTGATGCATATTTTCAATTCAATGTGACAAATCATTATTAAGCACTCCCCCCGGTACAGAGCACTGTACTGGGCATGATTGCTTGTGTTTATATTATACTTTCTGGTTTAGTCTGTGGTTTTTTGCTGCATAGGAGTAGGGATTATTTCACTCTTTACTTCTGATTGTCTAGCACTTAGGCACACAGAAGGTACTTAATAAATGCTTGTGGGTTGATTTTCTTTTTACAACAGTACTGTGAGGTAGGTGGTACAGGTATTATTATCTCCACTTTACAGATGACAAAATCCAGAGCGGGGAGTGATTTGCTCATGGTCATGACTAGAGTGAGAGACATATCAAGAATTCAACTCTAAGTCTAATGTTCTTTACACTATACCATTCTTCCCCTCTATACTTAAGAACAGGCATAGTCTTATAAGATCATAGATTTAAGGGTAGAAGGGCCCTTAGAGGCCATCGAGTCCACCTCCATCTCATTTTTATAGATGAAGAAACTGAGGCACAGGGATTTTAAGTAACTTGCTCACAATCACACAATGAATAAGTGTCTGAGGCAGGATTTGAACCTAGGTCTTCCTGACTCCATTGTACCATGTTGCCTCTCAAATCATTAAGAGAAAACCTTGATGAAGAATCATGGAACTCCACTGGAATGATCTAGATAGAAATCGGTTGATCTAACTCTGGGACTAACTGGCCCATGTAATGTTACTTTACCTAATATTGTATTTTCATGGAACCAGTTAATGACATTAGGCAAGGCACGACCATCTTCTGCCTGTGTTCATTCAGAAAACTGTCATACTCAGAGCAAAGAGCTACTCTGGCTATCGGCCAATTAAGCCATGGTGTCAACACCACTCCCCAATTGCCCAGTTTCACCAGAGTTTGCTTAGAGCATGAACCCATAAACTAATGTGATTCAAGCCTGACCTTAATTCTAATAGAAGCAAAAGGGACGGCTTTGTTTTGGACCAGCTTTTCCCCTCCTGTCTCCCCTCCCCTTTTGTTGGCCACTCAACACATATATATACTTTGTCTTCTTTTCAGAACCTTTTGTTGAAAACAATGCAACGACACCAACCCGGGATAAATCAACTGAATTCCTGTTGGAATGTTCGAAAACTGGCTGAAGGTTGGGGGTTGTTTCCCAATACTTCTCCCTCCCTTGTGCATCATTCATCCTTTCTGCTTCATCATCTGCTTTGTATTTCCAGCATAAGGGGAGGAGTATCCAGGGACGGGAAGAAATGTCTGTGTTCCCCTCAGTCACAGAGTCTAGATTTCCAAGGGTTTGTAAGCCTTGAGGGTCTTAGAAGAAGCAAGGATTAATGCAGCTTTATTGTATTTTCTCCCTGAAGCATTCATGACTTATTTTTGTTTGTCTGTTAAATCCTTTTGCCCCTTTTAGTCAAGGGGAGTAGGATAAGGGAGAGCTAATTGACACCTGTCAGCTGTGGCAAATACCATGGTTGATATAAGCCAATTGACTAATTTTCTGACCAGCTCTTGGTCAAGACTTTAAAAAAAAAAAAAAGGTCCAGATCACAGAACTATATATTTGGAGGTGTAAGGGACTTCAGAAGTCATCTATTCCAACCACTTATCTTACAGATGAGGAAACTGAGGCCCAGGCAGTTTAAGCAAGACTTGCCCAATGCCACAAAGGTAGCAAGTGACAAAAGCAAGTTTCAAACCTGGGTTCCTTGATCCCAAATCCAGTGCTATTGCCATTGTAGCTTTTCTGTGAAAAAAGAGGCCATGTACTGAGAAGTCATGAGATCCAGGTTCTAATTCCACAGTCAGCTTTGGGACTTGGAGCCAGCAAGCTATTTCACAGTTCTGTGACACAGTTCCAATACCATATGCCAGAGAGAATCATACTTTATGAGATCAATTTTTTTTTCAGAAGAGCACCAAGGAGGCCTTGAAAGAAAGGCCAAAGAATATTATTTTAACTATAGTTCTCTGAGATCAACCAACCAGAATTCATTAATTGCTCACTGTGTGCTGGACACTGAATATACAAATACAAAAGTGGATCAATGAACAATCACTTATTAAATGCCTACTATGTTCTGGCCCCTATTCTGGGCACTGAGGATACAAACACAAATAGAAGCTCTTCAAGAGCAGGTGTTGGGGATAGCAGGGAAGTATTTTATGCTTTTTATCTAAGTATACGTATCTCCCCTCTACAGGGAAGATATACCGTCCCTTCATGGAGCTTGCAAGTTTTGAAGGGATATCATTTAGTAACCTTATTTCTTAACTGGTGTGATAGGACACTGCCATATGAAGTGAAGTTATCTCTCTTGGGTAGGACCATACAGTACTATAATTTTGGGTTCCCAAGACAAACAGATTGAAGAAATCTTGGAACTGACTAGTCCAGTCCATTTTCATCCCCATTTACCTACTTCAATAGGTAGGTAAAGGTTGGAGGAGGTAAGCATGATAAGAGTAGAGAAGGAGGATGGCTGATGTGTGAGTGTGGGTGTTGAGACATGAGATATGTGCTTGGGCAGATGACTGGTCTAAGACAGTAGTGTCAAACTCAGAGGGGCCTCCAGCTAGGTGGCACAGCAGATAGTCTGGCCTTGGAGTCAGGAGGACCTGCGTTCAAATCCAACCTCTGATACTTGACACTTACTAGCTGTGTGACCCTGGGCGAGTCACTTAACCCTGATTGTCTCACCAAAAAGGAAAGAAAAATCCTCAAATAGGAAAGAGGGACACAAAACTGTATATAAGGATACCCGAGGCTGTATATTGACTTAGAAAACCACATATATTAATGTTCTATTGTATTTTTATTTATTTTGTTAAATATTTCCCAATCACATTTTAATCTGGTTTGTGCTTCATTTGGGGGTATTGGGTTGCAA